GTTAACATTTTGCATAACTATAGCATAATATCAAAACTAGGTAACTGATATCAGCACAATCCAGAGACTTTATCAGTTAGATTTTTATCATAGATTTTATCAGTTATGCATGTACTCATTTGTGTGCATGTATATAATTATATGTAATTTTTGTCATGTTAACTTCATGTAACTACCACCATGATCAAAGATCTGTACCATTACCACAAAGCTCTCTTCTACAACCCCTTTGAATCCACCTCCCATCCCTAGCCCTTTGAAACCATTAGTCTGTTGTCCATCTCTGTAATTTTATTTCAGGAGCATTATATAAATAGAACCATGCAGTATTTAAAGATTTTTTGTTTATGTATTTGAGAGAGAGAGAGTGTGTGAGCACGAGTGGGGGAGGGGCAAAGGGAGAGGGAGGAGCAGGCTCCCCACTGAGCAGAAAACCGGACGCTCCATCCCAGGACCCTAGGATCATGAGCTGAGCTGAAGGTGGCCGCTTAGCCAACTGAGCCACCCAGGCGCCCTGGAATCATGCAGTATTTACATGCATGAGATTGACTTTTTCCACTCAGCATAATGTCCCTGAGACCCATCCAGGTTGTTGCATGTATCAATAGTTGGTTCTTTTTTATTGCTGAGTAGTATTCCACAGTACGGATGTACCACGGTTTGTTGAATTATTCACCCACCGGAGGACATTAGGGTAGTTTCCAGCTTGGGGCTATTAACACATAAGCTGCTGTGAGCATTTGTGTGCAAGTTTCTGGGTGAATGTAAATTGTCATTTCTCTGGGATAAATGCCTGAGAGTGTAGTACCTGGGTCTTATGAGTAAGTCCATTTCTAGTGTGAAAATTAACTGCCAAATTATTTTCTAGAGTGGCCATAACCTTTTGCATTACCACCGGCAATGTATGAGTAATGGAGTTTTTCTGCATCTCCATCAGCATTTGGGGTTAGCACTATGTTTAAGCCACTCTAATAGGTCGGTAATGATATCTCATTGTGATTTTAATTTGCATTCTCTAATGGGTAATGGTGTTGAACATCTTTTCATGGGCTTATTTGCCATCTGTGTATCTTCGTCAGTGAAATGTCTATCAATGTTTTTTGTTCATCTTCTAATTGGATTGTTTTTTTTACTGCTGAGTTTTGTGAGTTCTTTATATATTCCAGAGACATGTCCTTTTTCAGATGTGCAGTTTACAAATATTTCCTCCTTCTCTGTAAATAGGATTTTTCACAGAGCAAAAGTTTTTAATTTTGATGAAATCGAACTTATCGATTTTTCCTTTTGTGGATTATTCTTTTAGTGCAAAGTATAAGAACTTTTGCTTGCTCCTAGTGCTCAAAGACTTTATCCTATCTTTTTCTAAAAACTTCATAGTTTTACATTTAAGCCCGTAATCTGTTTTAAGATAATTTTTGTATAAGGTGTCAGGTTTGGGTTGAAGCATGGTACCAAACCCAAACACTATACACTTAAATACAGAAAATGTGCAACATGTAGATGAAAACAGTATAAATGACATCAAAATACAAATGACAGGCAGAAAAGGTATTTGCAGTACCTGTGTAACATAGCAGAACATATTTTCCTAAATATAAATTTCCTAAAATTTAAGTAGTATATCCAATAAGAAAAAAAAGTAAACTTGGACCAAGTACATGAATAGGCTGCTCAGAAGAAAAGAAATGCAAATGGACAATAAACTTAAGAAGGGATGATAAGCCCCCAATTTAAGGAGCACAAATGAAAAGTGAGAAAACTTGCTTCTTTTTATTGCAAAAGAATGACAAAATTAACATGCATCGTAAAAAATGTAAAAAACATAAAAATATATAATGTTAAATGAATGTTTCCTTCAAAGCCTCATCATACCCTCCCCAGCCTGAAATCTTTCTTCTTTCCCTAGAAATAATCTCTCTGAAAAACTTTCTATTCCTTACAGCTCTTTCTCTGTGTGATTAGAAGTGTGCGTGTGTGTATTTCCTTCTTATACAAATTGGATCCTCTTTACAAATTGTTTTGCACCTGGCTTTCTACAATTGACATCATCATCATGACTTTTCATATCGACTGTTCAAGTCACCTTATTTGTTTAAATGGCTGCATAGGATTTACAGTGTAACTGCACCTTATTTTATTTAACCATTGAGAGGCACTCAAATGTTTCTTTTTTTCTTTCATTACAAGGAATGCTGCATTATATACATCTTTTTTTTTTTAAAGATTTATTTATTTATTTGCAAGAGCGAGAATGAGAGAGAGTACATGAGAGGGGGGAGGGTCAGAGGGAGAAGCAGGCTCCTCACTGAGCAGGGAGCCTGATGCGGGACTCAATCCCGGGACTCCAGGATCATGACCTGAGCCGAAGACAGTTGCTTAACCAACTGAGCCACCCAGGCGCCCATTATATACATCTTTGTGTTCACTTGTTTTACAGCTGTATTCTGTAGGATAGATACTCAGAAGTGAAATTGCTGGCTCAACGGACACATGAATTTTATATTAGAGAATATGCCGAATTGCCATTTCAAAAGCTCTCTCCATTTATTCCTCTACCAAAATGTGAGGATACCTATTTCTTCAAAAAGTCACCATCTCTTGACGCTGTGAATTGTGTAAGATTGATGAATCACAGACCTGTACCCCTGATAAAAATAATACATTATATGTTAATTTTAAAAAGTCACCACCCCCTGATATTAACCAATGCTTTAGAACACTCTGACGTGATGAGTGAAAAGAGTCAGCATTGTTTTAATCTGCATTTTCTGAGTATTGAGATTGAATGTGTTTTTATACGTTTATAGTTCATGTCTGTTACTCTGTTAATTGTCAGTTTATAGCTTTGCTTGCCTCTCTGTTGATTGTCATTTTCTTATTGCTATGTGAAACTCTTTTATAGTCTGGATATTAATCTTCTCATACATGCTGTAAATATTGTCTTCCTTCACTCGTTTTTATTTTACTTTTCTTTATTGTGTCTTTCTTTTTAGAGAAGTTTTAATTTTATGTAGTGCAATCTGTCTATCCTTTATTTTATGGCTTCTAGATTTCATATATTAGCAAAGTTTTCCCACTCCAGGAGAAAATTATTTCTTCTAATATGCTCAGGGATTTGCTTTTATTGTTTAGACCTTTTATTTGTCTTGAATTTGTATATCCTGTGATATAGGAGTCCACCTTTAAAAATAGCCAATTAACCTAGTACTCCTTGTTGGATAGTCTATCTTTTCCCCGCTGACTTGAAATGTCAATTTTCCCATATGCCAAGTCAATTTCATTGACTATTTCATAAATTTTTTAATCTATGCGAATAAATAATTTATTCTGCCAACAAAATCACGTTGTTTTAATTACTTAAGCTTTATAATTTGTTGTATTACGGAAAGTAGTTACCCTCTCAAATCCTGTCATTATTTTTCCTTATCAACAGTTTCTAGGTTAATAAGCAAGATGCGTTTGTAAGGGAAAAAGCCAGCCACAGGAAGAAAAGATATGTGTGCATTTGTGTATGCATGCATATGTGTATATGTATATATATTAACATATTCATAAAAATATATGTATACACACATAAAAATATATGAAAGCATATGTGCATATATACATGTGTGTACATATATACATGTAGATGTTTGCATAGGCACAGATAATTCTTGGTGGGGCACACCAGACCCTATAATAATTACCTCTAGGGAGTGGGACTGTTGGGAATTCTACAGATGAGTGACATTTACTTTTCACTTTGCATCATTCCCCACTTTTTATGTATCCTTGAAAAAATTTGCATTTCTTTTATAATTAAGAACAGTATATGATTTTTCTCTGCCAGAAATCCAAGCCCGAATAAGGGCATATTCTCTATATCAGTGTTTCTCAATCAGAGCTACACATTAGAATGACCTGGGGAGTTTTTAAAAAAAGTACAGATGTCCAGGGACCTGCCCCCAGAGGCTCTGTTTTCATAGCTCTGGGAGAGAGCCTGGGCATCAGCATATTTTAAAAGGGCCCCAGGTGATGCCAATACGCAGTCACAGTTGAGAACCATCACTGTAGATGATACGAGGCCTAAAAGGGTCCCCAGAAGGCCACTGTGATGAGGTCTTTTTCAGAATATAATTACTTGGGAATGCAACCCAAAGTAATCCATCACTTCTCTGTCAGGCTAAGTGTTGGCGTGAGACTGAGTGCAAAAAAGTGTGGAGGGGAGTGGTGGAAAAGAGCTTTGCTTGAATGTGTGTGAAAGCATCCATCTCTGCGGTAGGCCTTTTTGTTGAAAGGTTTAGACTCATTCAGGCTTCCTCGACACATAAGAGATTCTTTTAAAATCATCATGACCATAAAAGATACAGGAATCTCATGGAAAACCGAAAACAGCACAACAGCTGTGCCTCAAGAGCCCAGAACTGTGGTTGGTTTTAGAAGGTTCCAAGGGAGCTCCAGGACCCAGTGTTACCTGGAGACCCTCCCATAGGAGACTTTCAAAATTCTTTCATCTGGAGAATTGCTTTGTTAAAATGAAATGGCTTTTGGAAGCCTAATCTGGGAAACAGATCAAGGAGGAAATTAAAGAAGCCTAAGGATTGACTGGAAAGCCCATATCATTGTAGCTCTGCGGCTGACGTGTGCCTTCCTCTGATGCTGCTCCCCATCAGTTGGCCGATTCTGCCTCTGTGTTCCTGATGGAGGAGCTGATTGACCCAGCTCGTCCCCCGGGGTCTGTCCCTGGTTGGGCGGGCTTTTTCATACCAGGTAACTGCAGAGATGGATGGAATGGTTCATGGAGTCAGGTGCTCACCCGAGCCAGAGAGGGCATGGGGAGGAAAAGTGAGCATGTGAGAGTTTCCCTTAGAGTGGGAGAGTGGAGAGAACATGGATCACGATTCACCTGGACAGGCCAAGCACTAAGTGGGTCCTCAGTGAAGGTTGAATTGGAGGATGGTTTCCATGGGGTTTTGAAGCTGCTTCAATTCAAACCAAAGTACTGAGGAGCAATCTGTCAGGAATGGGTCGCTGGCCCTTGCGTTCCAAGTATCTCTAAAGGTCTTTTTTAGCTCTACTAATTTGGGCTTTTAAAAGGTCTTAACAGCCTAGGAATTCAGGAGAATGGAATTCATTTTCCCTTGGAATTAGGTCTGTGCCTGAGGTGACTGTGGAGCCCTCCAGGTGTGGCTTGTGCAAATTGACAGGTGCTCTAAGTGAGAATACATACCTGAGTTTGAAGCCTTGGTATGAAAAAAAGAAATCTAATGTTGTCTTTAGTACTTTTTTATATGGATTACATGGGTTTTTTTTTTTTTAAAGATTTTATTTATTTATTTGAGAGAGAGACAGAGATAGGGAGAGAGAGCACGAGTGGGGAGGAGAGGGAGAAGCAGGCTCCCCACTGAGCAGGGAGCCCGATGTGGGACTCGATCCCAGGACCCTGGGATCATGACCTGGGCCGAAGGCAGACGCTTAATGACTGAGCCACCCAGGCACCCCTATGGATTACTTGTTGAAATACTATTTTGAATATAGTGGATTATATAAATATGTATCATTAACATTAATTTCACCTGTATTACTACTTTGTTTTAAATGTGGCTATTAGAAAAAAAATTTTAATTATACATGTGGCTCACGTTTTCTTTCTAACGGGCAGTTTGACTGGATGGTGACTCTGAGGGGCGCCTGGGTGGCTCAGCTGGCTAAGTGGCTGCCTTTGGCTCAGGTCATGATGGCAGGGTCCCGGGATCGAGCCCCGCATTGGGCTCCTTGCCCAGCAGGGAACCTTCTTCTCCCTCTCCCTCTGCTGTTCCCCCTGCCGTGCTCTCTCTCTTAAATAAATAAATAAAATCTTTTTTTTTAATTATGTCCAATTAGGCAACATTGTATCTTAAAAAATAAATAAAAATAAAAAGATGGGGACTCTGACATTTCCCCCTGCACAGGTTTGTAAGGATCTGTATATGAACGACAGCCCTTTGCGGTGGGGCCCCCTTCAATACCTGGCTCTCAGTCAGAGCTGTGGCAGTTTGATCATCATCAGAGCAGTGGTAATTTGTCTTCTTCTGGCTCCTTGTCTCTGTCCCAAGGACTGCAGCCCAATTCCTGTTCTCAGATAGAACCACTTAATCCTCTCCTGTGGTTTCCCAATACCCCACACCCAGGTGGCATTGTTTATGGCTCTGCCTGGGCAAGTCCTTATGGAACCTTTCTCTGCTTCTTCGCCTCTCTTGCTCCTTCCTGCCTCGTTCTCCTTCTGGGACTGGCACACAGCAGATGTTTCACATGTGTACTCTCAGGTACTTTTTACACATGTCCTCTTCTGGCAGGTGTGTTCCAGCCAGCCGCTGCCTTGCTCTGGGGACAGATGACTGCTTCCTAATGCCCCGTCACAGTTCATCCTGTTTCGCCCCAGGAATGAAGTTTGCAGATGGGACTGAGTCACCTCTGGAAGTGTATCTACTTCAGGAGTTAATAATGATTTTAATAAAACCAACTACTAGCACCACTTACTGAGTTGTATTACCGGCCAGGATCTATACTGGGTATACTACAGATAAGTCTCATTTAATCCCTACAACAACCCCACAGAGTGTGTGCTGTGATCCCCTATTAGAGATGGGGAAAATGAGGCTCAGCGAAGTTATATACCTTGCTCTCCGATCACTGCTAGGAAATGGGGGACCTGGGATTTAAATCTACAGCAGTCTCCAAGTCTTTGCTCTTACCCCAGTTTAGACTGTGAAGACATAGTACCTCCCACAAACTATGCCACCTCCCAGGTCGGGCAACTACAGGTTGGAATTCTATGCTGGCTAGCAGGAGATATCTCTAAGCAAATCTGCTGAATGATGACAGTGCTATGTGTTTGTTTGCACGCTGTTTTGATGATTGTCCAGTTGACATATGATTTGCACAAAACTCTGTGAAAGCTAGAATAATGGACTCTGTGAACCCTATTTCACACACCAGAGAAACTGAGCTCCAGGGAGATGAAGTGATTTGTCCAGGGTCCCTAAGTTAAGAAACAAACCCGAGCCACGTGAGAACCCAATTTTCTGGAAATATTTACTTTCCGTTTTCCTACTCCGTCAGTGTGTACTTAGGCATTGCGCTGGCTGGATGGCAGAATATGGGGACAAATCTTTTGTTGTGAATGGGCTGTTGTGAGTTGTGTGAAGAGTTTGCAGGCACAGACTCATTGGAGTCTCCCAGCTCTAGGTACGCCTACGTCATTCACCCGGCAAGCATTGCCTGACGCCACGTCTGGCCAGGCATGGGGCTACTGGGTGGACAGTAGCAATGGAAGGGGGATAAGACATGACTTTGTCCTAAGGAAACCATCTCCCGCTGGGCATGGTAATCATCTTGTAAAGAGAGTATTATCATCCAGCGGAAAAGCACTGTCCTAATGGAATATAAAAAGTTCTGCAAAGCGCAAAAGGCAGAAGAAATAACTCTGCCTGGGAAGGTTTCATGGCAGAAGGGACTTCTGAGCTTGGTCTCAATGGACTGACTTTAGAGATGAAAAGCCTGAGTCACTGAGAGTTCTGAAAAGAGCCTCAGAAGTTTATAACTTCATTAGGTTTCCTAACAATATGCTTGTTGCCATAGCTCCTTAGAGAGTAGTAGCATACATTATTTGAGTACTTAAAATATTAACATCAATAACTTCCACAGTACCTTCACAAATACTCTGCCTAGTTGGATGAGCCAACTGGGAATAATGGTTTTTAAGTTACTCAAACTTTCCAATTCTACAAAGCCAGTATGAATACCTGGAAACAAATAAGAATCCCAGAAGGATCGTGTCAACTCTCTAAACATCAGCCATTTCAGACAGAGGAAAACTCTGTGTCTCTAGCACTTCATGTCCTTTTATTCATGTAAAGAGGTATTTTCTTACACAGTGGATACTTAAGAACATTCTACTCTTCTCTTCCAATCGTAAGAGGCTTATATTGTATGTGCTGCTGAATTTTATCACTTGAATATTAAGAGCCCAAATGTAGACTCTGATATGTTTTGGTTTATCTGGAGATGAAAAGAAAAGAACTTTCCAAATTTAGAAATTGAAATTCATCAGAGCCAAACTCTTGGGGCTGCCCAAGAGGAGACTGTCCTCTATGCTACTCTGGTCCATAAGGTTGCTGATGATTGGATTTTTCTGATAGATGATACTAGTACAATAGATTGAATATTTATGTCCCTCCAAATTGTCAAGGTGAAGTCTTAATCCCCAATGCGATGGTATCAGGAGGTGGAGCCCTTGGGATGTAATTGGGTCATGAGGCTGGAGCTCTCTAGCCCCTTCTGCCATGTGAAGATGCAATAAAAAGTCAGCAGTCTGCAACCAAAGGGAGTCCTCCCAGAACCTGACTGTGCAGGCACCCTATTCTTAGACTGTCAGCCTCAAGAACTATAAGAAATAAATTTCTGGGTTTTATAAGCCACGAAGTCTATGGCACTTTGTTATAGCAACCCAAACTGACTAAGACACCAAGACCCTAGATAATGGAGATGTTAGCTAGAAATTGCTAGTTGAGAAGGAAAATCCCATCATGGGACCTCTTCCCTCTTGCGTTTCAATTTAGTTGTTTGGTTTGTTTTCTGGGTGTGACAAGATAGACTTACACCTTCCACTCATAACCAAGATGGAATGCTCCTTCTGATTCCTGACTTGTTGAAGAACAAGGTCCAGATCTGCAAGACTTGGGAGAGCATCAGAACTGGGGTAAAATCTTGATATTCCTTGAAGAGTATCTCATTTTTAAGCAGACTTTGAAGAACAGAAGATGGGGTAGAAGTCCTAAAACAGCTCAGCAGTACTGAGGATTGTTGATGAATACTAATATTTTAAGAATCTAAAAATGAAGTGCTTGACAAAAGCGTTCACAAATACAATGGGCTGCCTGGAGAGAAAAGGAGGTCCTTCCTACTGCTAGTACTTAAGTACAAGCTGGGTAGTCACATGCTGGGGAGTTGTGCATAAGGCAAGGGTCGGACTAAAGGTCCTAAGATCCCTAGCAAATTCTAGATTCTATTTTTTGTCAATCCTTGTGCAAATCTCTATGCTTGCACTTCGTACATTATTCTCTAATGATATGGCTAGGTATCTGTCTCCCCGACAAGGTGGAAACTCCTTGAAGGAAGAATGAAATCTACCCTGTTCTATCCCAAGCATTTAGCACAGTGACTAGAACATAAGAGATACCAAGTAAATAGATATCAAATGAATAAATGAACTAATTGTGTATATCTGTATTAATATCTATATATACATCTCGATTTATAGTATAGTTACATATATCTTGATTGGTAGTGTAAGTTACCAGCAAGTGGACTTGCTTGCTGTGAGGGTGTTCATATTCCTTACAACCCCTGGTTGCTTGAATACCTGGATGATGTGATATGCCATGTGATCCCCCACATACGGCACTTCTGTGTAATTTATTCCTTCTCTACAGTTGGAGCTGTAGTATGGCAGTTTAGGCAGAGTCAAGGTATGGCCAGGGTTTTTCTGAATTCGTATTTCCAGATCTAGCCCCACTGCCGGCCATGACCCTAGAGATGTTGGTTAGAGGTCTTGGGTGTGACTCGGCTGCATTAAGTGGGCAGGCATCTCCTGGGGGTTATCAGAAGTGTGGTTTCATCCCAAGCGTGGGGAGGGAGGCAGGTGTTCGAAGGGCAGGGGCTCTTGTGGCACGTTGGGCAAAGGAGCAGGAATGCAAACTCAAGTGGGAGTGTAAGTGGGAGACTCTCAGCGAGTTAGACTGGATGAGAAGGTCAGAATGGGGCCAGGAAGCAGAGGCAGAGAAGGTGTGGTTTTTAGGTGGAGAAATTGCCAAAGAAGCAGAGGAGGTGGGTGCGGTTGCAAAGAGAATACTTTGCAAAGGAACGTGTTACGCTGAGATATGTTCGACAAATAGATACTGAGTGCTTACGTTGGGACGGCCACTGTACAAAGGGTAGGGATACAAATGAGTAGGGTCTCTGCTCTCAGGTACGTAAGCTATGAACTCACCTCTACAGATTAACAGACAAGTACAGTACAGCATGATACATGCTGGAAGGAGGTAAGCACAGGGACATCTGTGGGGAACACGGCAACTCTAAGACGAGATGTAAAGGACAATCTGTAGTCAGCAAGGTGAGGCAGGAGGAACAACCTTGCTAGAGCTCTAGAATGACTGAATGAACATACACAAGACCAAAGAAGGCAGCTTACACAGAGACTGTAAATACTTTGCTATAGTTGAGCCTTCTTTTTTTTTTTTTAAAGATTTTATTTATTT